TAATGTACAGATATAGCTTTCAGAATATAGCTTACTCTCTCCAATTTTACTTCACACTCAGATTACATTTGGGGTTTCGCCTCCCTATATAAGAAGATAAATACACTGAATTAGGGTGGTCTTCCTATTCTTAAACTAGTTGAACAGGAGTGAGAGAATATATGTGAGCTACCTCGAGAAGTCCAGTTGTGTGTCAAGGGTTTTACCAAGCACTTTATATACAATTATTCATTCACTCATCACACATTGCTTACAACTGATTGTCCCCATTTTACAGATTAGATAGACAACTGAAGCTTCCAGAGATTCGGTATCTGATCTTCATCTGTTCAACTCCAAAGCCTGTTCTCACTGTCATATTCTCTGGCTGTCATAACTTCTAAGTCAGCTTTTTTACTCTGGTCTATCTGTCTACCAAATGCAATTCAGTGTGACAATCACTGTATGCCATGCTATTATTATAGATGAACATTTTATTTATACAATTCCCAAGTGTAACTCAAAATCTAATCAACAACCTCATTGTGGCCTGGAGTTGTTTGGAGACTACAAACTTGCTAGAAGTCTGTGTATGTCCAAGTCTGAAAAAGCCAAGTTTTTCTTACATTTTGGGATATCCAGTGAAAATGAATTCAGGTCATTATACATTTTCTATTTTCCATGAAACCAAAATTATGCCTCATATAGATTGGCTAATTATTTATGTATACATGTATACACACACATGTGTATACACACAACAAATACACATATCCACAAGTAACTTAGAATGTACCACAAAAACTACTTTAAAAGAGGTAGAGTCAACACATTTGGGAAAACATCAGAACTACAACAACATAAGTGTTAATCACCAATCACTAAGAATAGACCAGTTCTGCCGGGTGCAGTGGCTCACGCCTGTAATCCCCACACTTTGGGAGGCTGAGGCGGGCAGATCAAGAGGTCAGGAGTTCAAGACCAGCCTGGCAAACATGGTGAAACCCCATCTCTACTAAAAATACAAAAAAATTAACCAGGCGTAGTGGTGGGTGCCTGTAATCCCAGCTACTCGGGAGGCTGAGGCAGGAGAATCGCTTGAACTGGGGAGGCGAAGGTTGCAGTGAGCTGAGACTGTGACATTGCACTCCAGCCTGGGTGATAGAGTGAGACTCCATCTCAAAAAAAAAAAAAATAGACCAGTTCTGCTTAACACTTTCACTTGAGATTATATTGGAGGAATCATTTTGTAATGTCTTGAATAGATAAAGTCCTCATGACTATAGCATCTTACATTTCTACAGAAGTGTATATTTGCAGATCCTTTTTCCTACAATATTTCACCATAGTCTTCACAACAACACTATGAGTTAAAAATAGTTAGTTCCAAATTACATAGGAGGAAATCAAGGTTCCAAGACTTTGAATGACCTATCAACCATTAAGCAAGACTTGCAATGTTTGATGGACATCTTCTGATTTTCAATCCAGAGTTATTTTCTTCTGATTTTAACCCCAGCCTCCACCATTCCCCATTTTATCTGTGACTGCTGAGTAGTCCCAAATGGAAACGCACATAATTGAGTGAGTAGGCTTAATTTATTGCAAAGTCCCTGCTCTATTCACATATCAATTAATCCATCTTTTATTTTGTAATTCATTGGGATCCCTGAGAGGTTGTTCTGAAGTGATGGAGAACAATATCAAGGACATACAATAGCATTTGTCATCAGAGAGTATATCTTCTTCCTCCCAAGGGTCTTCATTTTCTGTTGTAGACTGATGCTCTTAGCCTATTCATATTAGCCCCATTTTCAGCATCAGCTCAGCTCTTCAAGCTAACATACAGCTCTAGGCTGCTTATAATGACTCAGCAATCAAAATTTCAAGTTCAATCCATCTGGTCCTTACCCACCTCCAGGGCCAGAGCTCCCAAAGCTCCTCTCTGCACTTGAACTTACTAGGTGATGTTCCCGGCTTTCTTTAAAGGTTCTCAGTAGCTGACTTTCCAGCTGGCAACCCTGTTTGTTACAGAGGGAAAGAGCTATTCATGTGTTAAGTGCCCTGGGTCTTAAAAACACTGAAACATGCCGGAGAATGTGGGGCCTCCTTGGCTGACTTTAGCAGAGGCCCAGAGAAAGGCCTGCCAAATGAATAAAGTTAAATAGAGAAGAAACTGGAATGTCCTTTATTTTCCCCAATAAACTCAGAACAACCCTTCACCAATTCATTCTTTTAAAAATATAACCCTACATATGTTGCTTCTGGGGAACTTCAGCCTTTTCTTTGGCAACTCTGACATGTTACTCTACTGAAATGGAAAGCTCCCTACCCCCATTTAGCTTTCTTTTCTGAATTCTGTAAGCAATAAAACAAACCCTGGTGAACCTCAAAACACTCTCTACCACAAAATAAAACTGAAAAAGCCATGAATCTGGAGTTGGTTCTGATCAAAAGCTGCTTATCATTGCTCTGGCCTGAGCTGAAAATAAAGATGCAAAGCTAGAGTTGTGCAAACACCATCAGGAACCCTTGAAATATGGAAGAGATGCTTTGCACATTGCATAAGCTGTAATCAGAAAATCCAAGTTGGCTTGTACCCCACTTCTATTATTAGCCTAAAATAAGTGATAATGAAAGCGCTGTTATCGCTAGAAGAATCGCTCATTACAATTACTAAATCTAAACACACACACACACAAAAAGTTGGTATCGTTTGTTGTTATTGTTGTTGTTTTGAGGTAGTGTTGAGAACAAGCAATGCAATTAATTTTTACCAACACCACACATCTAAATATACCAGTAGTTGGTGAGGATACGAATGGGAGAACAGTCAAAATTAAATAGCCTCAATGGAGAGAGGTACTCATTTGCCAAATTCCAGAACGACTTTTTCAAAGGACCTCTCTCTATTCAGAACAGTCCTAACACAAAATAGATGACCTAAAACACTGTCCTCTGTACCTGGGACTGGTTGCCAAAAGCTGCAGGTTAATAAAGAGATAACCAACTTAAGGAATGCTGATTGTCCAACAGAACTTGGGAGCCTCCAATACCCTACCATGACCCATTGGCACTTGAGAGTATCAGGATCCTTCTCCTTACAACAGAAACTTTGTGTTTCTTATTCACATATTAGTCTCACTTTCAGGTTTTATGAACCTCGGATTGTTTTCTCCACAAAGAAAACAACATTTTATTTAGGGTTTCTCATAGGTTCAAGCCATTTAAAAAATTTTTTAAAAAAGAAAACAACGAACCTCCTTTATAGATGAGAAAAATTTACCTGTACATTATGGGAAACAGATGAAAATATCCTGATGATAAATCATTACAAGAAAGACAAATTATAAATTATACTGGCAGGAATTTTCCCATGGTAATTTTTACCAAGAGCAAGCACTGTCAGGAGTACCCGGTACAAGGTTGGGCCAGGAGTGGAAGAGGGGCAGCGTCTCACCATTGTCCTCTTTTACCTGCTTCTCTAAAATCATTATGCAAAAAATATTAGATAAATGAAAGGCATAGGGTAATACCAGAGTATAATCTCATCTTTAAGATTTGTTTTGTTTTGTTTTGGTTTGCTCATTTTCTTTTGGTAACTCCTTTTTATAAAACCAAATATTATCAATGTTTTGAGTATGACATCTGACATCTCTCAACTTGGTGCTCTCATAAATATTTGACCCAGGCCACCGAGCCTCTGAATCAATCTATTATGTTACAACTGGCATCTTCTTTCTATACACAGACATCAATACCTGGAGAGAAGCACTTAGGTATGTCCTTCTCTACCTACTTAACACACCTGTCATCTCTTCCATGAACGTGTCCACAGTAACAGTTCAAGTTGGCTAACATTCCATGAAATACCACCATTCTTTGAAAGATAAACCATCCACATGCAGTGGCAGATGACAAGTAAGGTTCTGTCGCTTTCATGTGGGGTCTCAGCATTTTAGAAACCTATTTACAAGTGATTCTTACTCCGGGGAGAAGCTAATTGATGCCAATGCAGAGATAAAAATACTCAAAGACACAGGAACACAGATGTTATCACAATGAAATGTTATTTTGCTTTAATTAAATAACCTTGGGATTGAAACAGGTAAAATATTATTTGCATTTCACTTTGAAGGAAAAGCGGGGAAAGATAAAGGCACAGCTAACTACCAGGAAACGAAACGGACTGAGATAGGCAAGATATTTGACTAAAGTCACCTGAATTCCTGATGCCACTTGCTTTTACAGCCAAGAATGGACAATTAAGAGCAATTTGCAACCACACTCCCTTCTCAGGGGACCACGTAGGGTAAGAGGATGTTCCGAAATGAGCGACACTAGTCTTAATCAGGGGACACCGCATTCAGAAAGGTTAATGAGATGCAATAGCCAGAGAATCCGTGCAAAAAGAGAGAAGAGGTTCAAAATACTAAACAATTTCCACTTTGTTCTCATTTGCTCCAATTAAGAGGTGGTGAAGCAGCTTTATTGTATTCCACACATTCCCTACTCTTTAGAGCAGATATAACTGTTTGAGAAGAAAAAAATAGAGGTATGGGGAGGGGGAAGTGTACTATTAAGTTATCACGAAAGTCCGGATTACACCCCCACCTCCCCAGCCCCCAGTCTCTGAGCAGACACACTTTGCCTCTAACTCAGAGCCTCTGCCAGGCGCTTTTCTGATTAATGTTTTTCCTCAAATTTAGAGAGTACTGCAATGCAAGCAGGAGAAAGCTGGGATTATGTTTTTTCCAGATTTCTTATATTCAGAATTCCCTGTGAAAATGTTAGATAAACAAGAGAGGTATAAAAATGGTAAGAGGAATGGGGGGATGGTTATACAAATGGAAATAACCTCCTTGGCATAAAAATAGCCCCCAAATGCCACACACTGAGTTCTTCTGAGCATTCCAGTCTCTAGAAATGCGCGTATAAACTGCATATGATTTCCGAAAACAAACAGGAAAACACAAACATTGCAAGACAAGGACTGAGATACGAGGAGTCCCATGACTTACCTTCTTTATGGATCCTCAAAGTTCACCAAGGGAAATTGACAATCCTCTAGCTTGCCGTGCACTACTCTATTTTCTTTTCTTCTTTTTATTTTTTTTAAGTCATATCGGAGAAAAAGCATCAGTTTTCAAAGGTTCCATGTATCTGATCTTCCAGCACCAGCAAAAACGTGTCCAAGAGACTCCGCCAAAAAGTAAGCCAAAAACTCATCAAAGGCAAAAGCAGAAGGGGGAGTGGGGAAGCAAGGAGGTGGCGAAAGGCAGGGGGTGGGGGCTACTGACTGTGAGCCCAAGTGCCCAGAGAATTATTGTCACGCTGTTGAAATCTCCTACTGTACGAAATACCTGATTTGGTTGCCACACTAACACACACACACACACGGACACTCACACATTCTCTTTCATGCAAAAGCAGGCACCCACACTCACAAACACACACAAACACACGCACGCACTCACACAAGCCAGTGTAATGAAAACTGTCAGTAGTAACCTCCAAGAGCTGCTGTGTGCTGCAGATGGTACGGCTCACTGTTACCTTCCCAGATCTGTGAAGGATCAAATGAACATCCAAAATCAGGGGGCCCCCAGGACTAGGTAGATTCCAGATCCCTCTCCCCCAGGCAGATGCATCAAGCCAGGAGCAGGTCAATCAGCAGAGGTGTCTGCTTGCAGGGTGCCCCGGTTTATGGCAAGGTTATTAATCTTGATGTGCTGCATCCCCCACCCCCAACATTCGGCAGCCTGCATTGAGATGATTGCCAGAGCTGTGTCTGTCCCTGTTCTACTGCATTTGCTCAGCCCTCTGATGCTGCAAGTGAGACACGGTGGAGGCAAGAATACTAATAAGGTGGTTAGCTACAGTTTCTTCAAGGCAGTCGGCATGCAGTACAGTAAATGTGTACTTCCCAGTGCTCCGTGTGTGAGCCTGCGTGTCTGCAGGGAGGGCAGTGAATCCATCTCTGGCCAGAAGACGAAATGGTTTGTATCCTGCCTGGGAGAACTATATCATCATCGGAATCATCACTGTCCTGCAACGGCGTTGTCTATGACAGTATTTTGCTTGGGATAAAGAAGGGGGTTTAATGGTTTAGAAGCCTAGAGCTGGCATTTAGAAAGTGAAAAAAAAAAAAAAAAACTGTCTGGGGAGACAAATTAGCTTTATAAATAGGATCCAAGGAGACTGAGGCAAAATTTTAACATGCAGCTTCCCTGGCTGTTAAATGGAAATACAAAGCAATTTCAAAAACCGGCTCCAGACTATAAATCTTGGAGCTGGCAACAAGTATCTAAATTTGACTGATGGGACTGTAGATAAATGGATTCCTGGTAATATAAAAAGTTTGCTCATGCTTTCTGCTTCTTAGCCATGGATCTGATGTGTACAGAAATTTAGGCACAGTTCATTCATTTTTAAACATGAATTTTGACTTGACACCTGCACTGTTTGACTTTAATGTACATTTTAAACCACATAGCTATCAAATTATAGAGAACATCTGTGTGGGACAGCATCACTAGAGGGACTGGTTGACAATTGTCCTTCATAAGCATTATAATACATAACATTTTAACCCGAAACAAGCTTAAAGTTTTCAGAAAAACAGTACACATCTCTTTTAGTACCAAGCAATGAAATTAAAATACATATGTAAGATGCTAAAAATTAGCCTCCAGAGTGCTAAATTTTCTGCTTCTATAATTCAGTTTCATATTAAAATACCTTTTCTTTAGTTCAAGACAGTCACTATGTAATTTAAGTTGAAATAAATTGGTATTATCTGGAAAAGTGTTGGACAGTTGGAGAAGGCAGATAAAGGGGAATTATAGAGCAGTGTAATACCAGATATTGCCAGCAGATGTCACAAAAGAAAACGCAGGTTAAATAATTCTTCCAAGAACAGCAAGCATTTAATCTGATTTAGTAAACACAGCTCTTAATAAAATTGATGGGACTAATAAAAAATACTGAACTTTTATAAAATCTTAAGGTGTAAATAAGAACTTAGAGAATAACCTGCCCTTTATATTTTTCCAAATGTCCCTCTCAAATCACCATTTCTCATAACTCTGGCAGACTTTCTATTATTAATATTGGCAAAAATACTATGCCATTAACTAAGATTCGATTTGCATATAATAGTATTTCTATCAGTGATTTTCTTTTGTTCTATAAAATATATCATTCAATACACTGTATGTAATATAGCAGCTACTAGATTAAACTAGAAAACAGTTTGTAAATTGGATGAATAAAATTACTCTCTAAAACTTAGTTTGAAAGAATTATTCATGTTTAGGAGTCAAACATTAATAAAAAGTGACACATACATAGAATGTACAAAGAATTTTCGTTAGTCTTCATCAATTCGATTTATGTTAATGTGTGAAATGTTTAAAAGAATCTAGCATATCATCTTAGCCTTCATTTACTTAAATATAACTCGTGGGTACACACCAACTCACAGCACTAATTGGCAAAACTATCAGTAAAATATAGTGTTAAAAATTGTACTTTGGAATTCAGATAGATCTACGTTCAAATTTTAGTTTTTCCTTATATAGGGTGGTTAGTTTCTACAAGTCATACATCTTTTTCTTTTGCTGGAATGGGGGTATGCTTTGTCTCTCTCTCTCTCTCTCTCTCTCTCTCTCTCTCTTCAAATTTTTTACTGTCACTTGAAAGCAGGACACTAATATGTACCTAGTAGAATTATTGTGAGGACTAGAATTAATTAATATTTATTATGTGCTTACCATGTCTCCTGACACATAATAAGTGATCTATCAGTGCCATATATATCTTATAAAGTAGATATTTGATTTTTACTATGTTAGTCTGGCTTTGTGGACCACCAAATAAAAGAGGATGAATCATTTACTCAATCCTTTTGGTGATGAAGATGTATTTTTAAATTTGCTTTATTTTATTTTTTAGAGATGAAGTCTTGCTTTGTCGCCCAGGCTGGAGTGCCAGTAGTGTGATTGTGGTTCACTGTAGCCTCCGCCTCCCGGGTTCCAGAGATTCTCCTGCCTCAGCCTCCCAGGTAGCTGGAATTACAGGCACATACCACCATGCCTGGCTGATTTTTGTATTTTTAGTAGAGATAAGGTTTCACCATGTTGGCCATGCTGGTCTCGAACCCCTGACCTCAGGTAATCCACCCACTTCAGTCTCCCAAAGTGCTAGGGTTACAGGCTCGATCCATCGCCCCCAGCCTTTAAATTTATTTTTACAAAGAGTTGGTTCAATCTTGTTTTTGTAAACCTATAGTTATATACCATTTGACCACTCTTAATTTAAAAGTTTGTTATATGCATCCTAGGAAGCCCTCTGTGTCCATTGTCCCACATGCATAAAATATTTTTTAAATAACAATGAAATAATAAAAAGAACACAAATTTTAAAGAGCAATATAGCAAATATTTACATTGAATTAGGCATTTTAAGTTACCTAGAGATTACTTATGAAGGATGTACATAAGTTATATGCAAATACTACCGCATTTAAAATAAGATATTTGAGCAATCATGGATTTTGATATACAGAGGAGGCGTCCTGGAACCAATCCCCATGAATATCTAGGGATGACTGTATATGCATTTTGCTTTATATGTGTATCCTAAGACTCAATAGAAAGAGAAATCACTTTCTTAACTGTCTGATATCTTGACTCAAACAGGGTAGTTGGAAAGAAATCTAATGGCAACTCACTGCTTCCTCATCAAGACTTGTTTGAAGCCAATAGTGTCACCAAGCACTAAAGTGTTGGTACTTAAAAAAGTACTATGTGCTTCTGCTTAGGTTCCCCCAAATTTATATGTTGAAGCCCTAATCTCCAGTGCTATGATATTTGGAAGTGGGAATCAATGAGATTCAAGACAAACTATTCCAAAATATGGCACCTTGACATTTAAGAAAATGACAGAAACAGAAAGGTCACTCTCACTTTCCTCTTCCCTTCTCCCCTGAAACTGGCGGTAAAATCTAGCTAGTCTTACCCAAAAGTAGGTCATAAAACCTTCATTCCAGCAGGCCCCTCCCTATAAGCTGAGAAAAGAGAAATTCTGAGAAACTCTTGTCCTTGTAAACACAGAGATGCCAAGAAGAATCTGAACAAACGGGTCTCACAAGTTCTTTCCACTTTATTACCTTTAAATCTAAGCCTTTTTCTCCAGTCATTCTTCTATATGACTATATACCAATCATAAAACATAAACATAAATATACACAAATTTCCCTGTCTATTTGGGTCTTCATTTCTAAAGGATCCCATGTCACCTGAAACGTATTTAATACATTTATATGTTTTCATCTTGTTCATGTGTTGTTTGATATAGGGACCTCAGTCATAAACTTTGTGATGAGTGAGGAAAAAATATTATTTCCTTCCCTCCAAGGGTCTTTGGGAGTTAATTAGGTCATGAGAGTAGAGCCCTTTCAAGTAGGATTAGTGCCTCTTACTAAGGCATGTGGGAGAGAAAATATCTCTCTCTGCCATGTTAGAATGCAACACGAAGGTATCTGTTCAACCAGGGAGAGAACCTTCACCAGAAGCCAGATCAGCAGGTGATACCTTGATCTTTGAATTTCCAGGCTCCAGAACTATGAAAAATAAATTTCTGCTCTTTAAGCTGCCCAGCTAAGATACAAGGTTAAAAAGAAAAAGAAAATAGTTACAGTTTCTTAATCAGAAATTGAATAACAGACTACAGCAGATTATCATTTTTAAATGGAGGCTTGGATATTGAATTTTTTGGCTACTGATCATTGGACAATTATTAGCAATACGGTAAGTACTTTTTGAGGGAAAGGAATACCAAGAAGGTGGCTACAGGGCATCAGTTATAAGTAAATTCCTTCTGGGTCTCTTGAAGAATTGTGTTAGACTAAAAATGTGTGTTATAAGCAGTAAGCCTATTGTTCTTCATCCACCATCCTAAAACACCAGGGTGGGTTGAATGATCTGTATATTAAAGTTGAAGAAAGGTGTATTTGACAATAGATTGCTATGTAAGATTCAATACACCTCCTCCCTCATTCCAGGAAAGCTTAGTGTCATCAGAAGTCCTCTAGGTATATTATGAAGATCAGACACATGGTAACATATTAATTTCAGAAAAGAAGAGCACTTGTGAGTTCCTTTCTTTCCCCATATGCAAAATATTAAAAATTAAAATAATTTTGAAAAATTAAAAAAATTTATTTTCTAGAAGATGTTAGTAATAGAAAACATCGACTTTGAAAAAAAAAAAAGGCCAGATAATCTGGAACTTTTGAACAGTATGTTTGAATTAAGGAAGAAGAAATGCATCTAAATCCACATTATTGAAATATTCTAAATTTGTCTGAGATAAAAAGTAATCACCTACTACAGAGAGCAGATAAATGTTTGACTTTAATATGAATATGCTTTATTTTGAGAGAGTTAATACTGAGTATGAAAGATCCCACCACCATCAATATGAGCATATTTCACTTCCAATTTATAAGTAAAAATTTCAATTTTGGAGTTTCTTTTAGCTTAGTTTACAATATGCCACTCACGTTTCTGCTTGCGACCTGCACCATGGACTAAGAAGCCTAAAACAGAAACTTGTTAGTATCTGCTCCCTTGTTGACTTATTGAAAAATCAGTTTGCCTGAAATTCAAGTTTTCTGAATTCATTTAATAGCCTAAAAGATTATATTCTATTATTTCTTCTCTTGAAATTGTCATTAATTACATATTGAATTAAACTTGGCTTTTTTATTTAAAGTGCTTTAACCAGTTACTGGGGGTTGGGCATTATTATATTCCTCAAATTATTTAGCCTTCCTATTTATATCTAGAAATTGTAAGCTTAGATAAGTCCAGCATAAATGCTAAGCTATTTGGATCAATTTCTCCATGAAGTTGGCCTTGAACTTTATAATTACTTTCTCTTATAAATCAAAAGAATATTTATTTAATCCATTTTCACTTAACATTTAGTATTTTATACGCATAATATACATCTTAAAAGAAATTTTTTTATGTCTTATGTCGTTTTTGTTTCCTAAAGAGAGCTTAACACAGGTCCCTCCAAGCCTCAGGTAACAGATAATTTTTTAGAGTAGTTACTAATAAAAAAACATGCTAGATATCATTCCATTTAGAAACTTTATACAGCATGTCATGGACTTTGGCTCTTCTTTCAACTTCACTCTCTTCAAGCTCTAAATGGACTAATAGTAGTCGGTGTGTAGATTGCCTGCAGTTGAAACCTGCTATTTCATTAGTTATTTGCCAATTCATAATAATTTTGTATTATTATTATAATATCTGTAAATCTATAGTGATTCTCTCTCTCTCTCATTCCTGATATTTGAAATCTGTACATTCTCTTTATCAGCCTGGCTAGAAATATATAAATTTTACAGTGAGTCAGATTTTTAATTGATTTTTCTGTTTTTATTTTCACTGACTTCTGCCTTTATTAATTTTTTTTCTTCTGCTTACTTTGGGTTCTATCTTCTCTTGTTTTTCTACATTCTTAAATATGGGGCCATTGATTTGAGATGTTTCTTTTCTAATGTAAGCTTTCACTGCAATAAATTTTCCTCTAAAAACTGTGTATGCTGCATTCCACAAATTCTTTTCTGTTGTGTTTTCATTTTCATTTGGTTCAAAATAGTTTTTAATTTTTCATTTGGTCTCTTCTTTATACCATGGTTTATTTATAAGTGTGTTATTTAATTTCCAAATATTTGGGAATTTTCCATATATCCTTCTGTTATGGATTTCTCATATTAATTCCATTGTGATCAGAGATTATTCTTTGTAGGAATTGAATTCTGTGAAATGTGTTAAGACTTGCTTTGTGACTCAAAATATGGCATAACTTGGTACATGTTACTGGGTAGTCTTAAAAATAAGTGCGTTCTACTGTGGTTAAGTGAAGCATTCTATAAATGTCAATTACAACAAGTTGGTGGGTAATGTGGTTTAGTTTCTCTATACTCTTAATAATTTTCTGTCAACTCATATTATCAAAATACTTCACCAAAATCATAGATTTATTAGTTTTACCTGGTTTTGCTTTGGAAATTTTGGAGCTCTGTTACTAGACACATACATGTTGAGAATTAAATACTCATTATTAAATAATATGAAATGACCCCCTTTTTCACTGGTAATTTTTTAAATAAAATGTACTTTATCTGGCATTGATACAACCACATCCATTTTTTTATTACTATAGCCTATCTCTTTTTACATCCTTTTACTTTCAACCTATGTGCATCTTTATTTAAAGTAAGTTTATTTTGATCAATGCATAGTTGTGTCTTACTTTTTTATACAATATTATATACCTAATACTTAATTAGGAATGATTAGATCATTTAAGTTTATTGTAATTACTGATAAAGCTGAGTTAGAATTTACTGGCTGGTCACTTCTACTTATGTGTTTGATCTGTTTTTTTGTTTCCATTTACTTATTTTTCTACTTTTGTTAATTTGCCTGGCAGCATCCTTTTTTTTGTTCTTTTTTAATTTATTTATTTTTCTGTTGAGACAGGTCTCACTCTGTCACCCATGCTGGAGTGCAGTGTTGTGATCTCAGCTCACTGCAACCTCCACCTCCTGAGTTCAAGGGATCCTTGTGCCTCAGCCACCCAAGTAGCTGGGATTACAGGCATGCACCACTAAGCCCAGCTAATTTTTGTATTTTTAGTAGAGATGAGATTTCACCATGTTGGCCAGGCTTGTCTCCAATGCCTGACCTCAAGGGATCCACCTGCCTCGCCCTCCCAAAGTTCCGGGATTACAGGCGTGAGTCACTGCACCCGGCCTATTCTTTTCTTTCTTTAGTGGGGAAGGTTGCTGTAGGATTTATACCATATACCTTTAAGTTATAGCCTCCCTTCCAGTAATATAATACCATTTTATGCAGACTACATAATACCATTTTATGTATACTACAGTATTTCCCCTCTTCTGGACTTGTATATTCTTATCATATGTCTTATTTCCACATTTGTTATGAACCCAGTAATATATTAAAATTATTTTTCTTTAAT